ATATATATATATATATATATATATATATATATATATATATATATATATATATATTTGTGATGAAAGATAACCATACCATATTACTATTTTGATTTGAAAATATTGTTGGTTTATTAATTAATATATCATTGAAATCTTGGAAAGGGGAGTACATTTGTTGAAAGGGATGGGGTTTCTAAGTCATACCAATATGTTTGTGAATGAGATGGGGAAGTGATTAAAGAGGGTTTTGTTTACTTCGGGTTTGGGAATATGCCCATATGGGTATTGGAAACGATGTTGATGTTTATTTAGGTGGATATTTAATACCGTATAACATTCAATGCATACAATACAATTCGTTAAAGCATGATGGTTGGGTTTTGATTTCCCTTGATTGTAAATGTGGGTAACCAAATTCGTTGTGTGATACACAGGCGAACAGTTCGAATATGGATGGATCTAGGGTGAATGTGGATTCAGATGCTAATGTAAAAGCATTGATGGGAATAGGAGAGGAGATGTTAAGACAGAAGAACGTGGAATCGGTGTTGTTTGGAGGAAAGAAGATCGGAGAAGAGACCAATTTGGAGAAACTCGAGTGGTTTGCTGGAGAAGTAGTGTTAGAGCATGAGAGAAGGAGCGGTCGTATTGCTCCCACCGTTGCATTTAAACAACCAACCTCCTAAACAAAATCCAATATCCTGTACAAAGGTATATGCTTTTGTTAAGAATGGTAGAAATTGGTGATTTCATGCATAAATTGTTGATGGTCTGGAATAAAAATAGATTCGTGTATGAGTGTAGCTGAAAAGGAGGCAAGTTGGTTTGGTTTTGTTTGGTTTGGTTTGGAAACCATTATGGTGGTGGTGGGATCAGAAGAAAAGGGTGGTCATATTGGTGAATTCTTTTGTTTTTCTAACTGGATTTAGATCTATAAGAGTAGATGCATAATCTCTATGGGTTTTTACTTCATAATTCATACCCAAACAATAAGTATATGTACATGTATGGTTGTGTAATATGCAATGTGCCATAAGATAGGACCTTGCCTTCATTGTGTTATCGCTACCGTTTAATTGAATTTTGTTGGTAAATTATTTTATCATAAAAGATACATCTGCTAAACTTTGAGCGGTGCTCAAAGATATTAAAAATACGAAAAACAGAAAAAGTTTCATTAAAATCAACCAAAATACTTAAAGAGCTCTTTGAAATGGTAGACAAAAAATACAACAGACGACCTAGGGATCCAACAATTTTTTTAGGTTCTTAGATGATAAAATTAGAATATAAAAGAATACATTAATTTTCATAAACTGTGTTGTAGTTGAGTTAATAATGTGTTTAATTGTTATGTTTACTATCATCTTTATCAAAAATTGTTAGTATCTCCTTTTAGTATTTATACAAGTTTGGAATTTATTTTTTAAGATCGATTGGGTTCTTTCTTTTTGTAACTATACTACTGTCTTCCTTATACGTAGAAAGAAAACAAATAGTCAGTCCATACCTGTATATTGCTCCAATCACGCTTCTAATTCCATTGTCGTCGATAGACTACCTCGATATATTTTCCGAGGTTCTAAATTCCAATCACGATTTACAAGGAGTCCTTGCAAGATTGACTTTTTCTTAGGTCATGTTGCTCAGTTCTTACTAATTTTCAATTTTTTTGCTTGGCGTGTTGGTCGGTTATATTTCATACCTTTAGACTTAATGAAATTGGGCCACAAAGCAAGTATACAATACGACCCGATGTCGTCTTTTCAAGTAATAAAGTGGTACAAGTATCGGATTATCGTCCACGGAGATTGTAGCCAAAGTTAGATTAGAGTCCAATGAAAGAGATGATTTCAGATGACGATTTTGAAGACCTTTGTTTGGTTTTAAGGTGAATTAAAACAGAATACAAAATATATAAAAGAAGCAAGGGTGTAAGACTTAAGGTGAGAACCAAAACACAAATTCCAGCAGCCAATGCTATAGGAATGCTACAACAAGCAGTGTTTCGAAACTAAATTCCACCATCTATTTTGAAGGCATTCCTCTCGGACTTCACCATTGCACTATATTATAGCTTTCCATTCATATCTCTATGTGGTGTCCGAACCAACGATAGTGACAAGATGGTGGTTTCAAAATATATGGATAAACAAATCTCTTTGTTAAAAATCACTTTATCGAGTCGATTCCCATATCATTCGAGTTGGCTTGTTCTTGATAGTTCATCTCTGAATCTATCACACTTTGACACTTTCGAAGAGTGATCAACCCGTCGGGAGTTAAGTTTTGAAAAATATAAATCACAAGTCTCCTTGTCGGTAACTTTCTCAAGTCTACCTCTTATGTCATTCAAGTTGACGTGCTTATTAATGACTTATCTCTAAGTCCATCGCACTTTAACAATTTCGAAGTGATCAACCCGTCAAGAAATGTGCTTGGTTTTTATAAAAACTCGAATGAAACAATGGAACGTCGTTTACGAAAACACTTAGCTACTTTCGTTTGGTTTGAAAATCTCACCTTTCCGTCTCACACCCAAGCTATAAAAGCTTAACTACTCATAACGGAAAGTAAATTACAAGAAAAATAAATGACGGAAAATAAAGATATAAACGTAAATTGCGTAAAGTAAATGACGAGAAAATAAATAACGAGAAAGTAAATGACGAAAAATAAATGACAAGAATGTAAATTGCGGAAATTAAATAACGTAAAGTAAATAAATGTAAAGGAACATCAAAAAAAGAACAAGAAATTAAAAGATGAAAGCTTTAAAACTCAAAAATTTTAGATTTCTCAAAAGGTTCTCTCAAAATCAGCCCTAACCAGTTAATTTTGATCTTGGATATATGTTAAAAGGTATATCTAAACACAAGGCCAAACCCCCCTTTTATACATAAAGGTTGACACTACACAACAAAAGTATTAACCACAAGTTAATGTCCAAAGGTTAAGCAAATAGGATCTAAAGTACAAGATTGCATAGAAAGTCAAAAATCCCATATTTTAAAAAGTCTTCCAGCTGTCTTCCAGTAAGCATCCAAAAGGCAGCGGCTTAATCGTTAAGCTCCTCGTAAAGCCAAACACGTATCAGGTGGCTGCTGTTGTAATGCTGTAGCATCAGACTGTTTAACAAAAATTTCTCCATTAGCTTGTATCTTTGAGTCCCAACAAGTTAACCACAATATTTTAGCTCCATAATAATAAAGGTACAAAGAAATAAATCAAAATGGCTCAAAGTGGGAATGAAAGGAAACTAATTTTAACTAATAAGACGTAGAATGAGTGCATTATATGTTGAATTATCAACACATATCACGTGTATTATCAACATCTTTAAATTTGTGGTGCACCAACAGTTCAAACATGATCACACGTTTGAATAATTGTCATGATTGCGGCTCAATCCAATATGCCATTATGCGTATATAAGAAACCGACAATCATGTGGTGTGTTGCATAAATCACACGTTAAAGAATATTGTTAGGCAAAAGAGAAAACATTTGTTGCATTTCATACATTTGTTGCATTTCATAGTGACACATTTTACACATTTTAATTGCATCACGTCTAAGAGTTTTACGACTTACCGGCTTATTTCATGGTTTTAGTGTTTTTTGGATTAACTTCGTAATGCAAGGGTTGTCGAAATGTTCGAACGACAACCCGACTTGAATGACACATTGTGTTGTCATTTATCCATACTTGACCTTGATTGTCAAGTATCGGTTGGCTTGAATCGCCTCCCGACCTCAACCCCGGGCACATTTTTTGGTGTGCTACTTTAAAGTTGAATTTCTTTACACTATAAGTAGAGCTTGTCACATTTTGCATTGCGCCTTTTTCCCATTTGTGAGGATCACCATGTTGTATGCATTCCAAATCTCGGACTTTCGTCCGTACTTGAAGAGAACTTAGGCAACTTATTCGTTTGATGCATCATGTTGTTCACCGGCCATTTTGGAAGGTAAAGAGAGAGAAATAAGAATTGAGAAGTGGAAACGAAAAATGAATACGATCCAAAATCACAAAATATAGCGAGAATTGTGAACATTATCTTTGCGTTTTATAAGTTGGTATTTGATAACTCTCATTTTGAACGTTATTTACACATCATTTGTGTGAGTTTTTTTTCCCATTTTAGTTGTTTTTCCTCTTTATGTGTTCATGTTTCTTCTTTTTATTTATTTTTTTATATTTGGAGCTGTTGAGGATAAAAGTTTGTGTTTTGATGGTCAAACGCGTCATTTCTGGTTAAATGTTGGAATGCAGATGTGTCCACGGTGGGCAACAACGAGCTTCTTTTGGACAAAACCATGTTTTTCTATTATTTGGTCACTAAAAGCATTCGTTTGAAGATTTCTTAAGGATCCGGAGATGACAAAAGATATGAAAATTTCTAGAGGATGAGATGAATAATAAACACCTTTTGTATAAAAGATTAAAAAAATGTTTTCATCCATGGGGTAAAGACCAACATTCTTTCACGTACAAATAAGAGGTCTTGGTGAAGCATTAGAGGAGAGCTTCACCAATGTAGAAGTTCCAACACTTTGTTTTTAGATTTTATAGTTTTAGCTGTAATTCAAATTCAAGTCTTTAATTTTCAGCAGGTTGCTCACTGTGGGCACTGCTTTTGTCTTATTTTTTAATGCAAGTAACTTTTAAGTATTTTTCTTCTTCTACTATGCTCTTTATTTTACTTATTAGCTAAGCACCTCTTGTGTGTAGGTGTAAGTCAAATTTAAGACTAGTAGACAACACTTGGGTGTTGTCATTGTTGCTAACTCTTAAACTTGGTCACTTGAGTCGGAACTTAAATTCAACACAGAGAAGTTGATCACTTTGAAGTGTTAATATTAGATCTTAGACTCAGAGATGGACGAATTTAAAATACTACTTAAGTGATGCACACATATTTGAGAAAGTCTTTGATAATCACGTAGAAATAGGTGTTCTATATGATTTATTAACGTTCAAACTTTGGTCGAGATTTACATCACTCTTGGGTATAAATCTTCATACTAATCGAATTTGATATTTTTAGTCAGCTTAGCTAAATCGGCAAGATTAAGAATCGGCAATAGTGGTGACTTTGTGGGCACAATCTATAAAGATCCACTTTCGAGAGATTGGGATCTTTATAGACATTTTTGTGACGTAAAGTTTCTGACCATTTTGTTACTACAATTGTCTTAAGTGAAACTTACACCCATACCCATTTTTAGTTACTTATTTAGATTTCATTGTTAAAAGTACCAAATTCTTTCAAATATATTTTCTTCTTCTCTAATTGAAATCATTGTAAT